TGAGAAAACTCGTGGGTTGAGATAAAGACAGTTTAATAAATAAAACAAAAGTCATGCAGGCAAGCAAAGCAAAACAAGGAATTCATTCAGTGCTTCCCATGGGCAGGCAGGTGTTCAGCCATCTCCAGGGAAGCAGGGCTCCATCACGCGTAATGGTAACTTGGGAAGACAAACGCCATCACTCCAAATGTCCCCCCTTCTTCTTCCCCCCCCAGCTTTATATACTGAGCATGACATCATATGGTATGGAACTCAACCTTGGTGAGTTGGGGTCAGCTGTCCTGGCTGTGTCCCCTCCCAACGTCTTGTGCACCCCAAGCCTACTTGCTGGCATGATGTGAGGAGCAGAAAAGGCCATGACACTGTGTAAGCACCCCTCAGCAATGACAAAAACATCCCTGTGTTATCAACACTGTTTTCAGCACCAATCCAAAACACAGCCCCGTACCAGCTACTGTGAAGAAAATAAACTCTATCCCAGCCAAACCCAGCACAGCATCACACCTCTTCACTTCAACGGTGCTGGGTGTCCCCCACGTGTGTCCCTATGTCACCAGCAGCCCTCTGTGAGGGGCTGGCCCCAGTGGCTCTCCCTTCTCCCAGGCAGACATTTGTTCCCATGCCTTCCCCGTCCTCACCCGGCCCCTCACACCTACCTCTGTCACCTCAAGGCCTCAGGAATGGCTTCCTGGGCTCTCACCTGGCCTCCTACCTGACAGAGTTATTCTCCCCACCTGTTTCTCACAAGGAAGCCCCAGCAAGGGGCAGCGACCAGCCTGGAGCTGCCCTTGTGCCAGCACCATGCCATGGTTCTGGGGCACCGAGGCCCAAAGCCCGGGGTGCTGGTATTGGCAACACACCTCACCAGGCTCCTCCGGCTCGCTGCCTGCTCCTGTACCTGTGGGTTCCCCCACCTTTTCTCCAGCCGTGCTCTCTGCTAGTGTCAGGGGTGCCACAGGATTTCCAGCCCATGCCCACGGAATGTCCCGGCTGATGGCTGCAGCTCATACCTTGTGTCAGCATCCTGGACCTGATTTAGGGGCAATGGGTCTCCCTGGCCCAGTGGGTGGGACTTGATGGGAAAGGTGCTCGAAAGGGTTCAGGGAAAAGAGGCCCTCCAGGTGGGGAGCGTTTGGGTCATGGGTCCCATGCCTGGAGCGCCCAGGGAGCCGAGAGGGCGGTTTCTCTCCAATCTCTCTCCACACCGATGCAACCAACATGGACCTGGTTCCCACAGCTCTGGGATGAGACCCCAGCGCCCACCACTGCCCATAGTGCAGCTCGCTGCAGGGTGAGGAGAGGGTCTGGGCGATGCCCCGCTGTGCCCTGGCAGCGGGGTGCTGCTGGGGGGTGTCCAGGGAGATGAGAGATGACTGGAGAACACTTGGGCTGTGGTCACGCTCACCTACAGCAGAAGCTGTCCTGAGCGAGGCGGAAGCCAGGCGGGAATGGGATGGGGCCAATGGGCAAAAGCAGCTCAGGGGCCAGGGAAAACTGAGGTAGGGATCAGTGTGGGGGCACCTGTGTGGACCCCTGCCAGAGGTGGGGGTCTAGTCGTGTTGGTCCCTGAGGCTCAGGAGACTGGTGCACACCAGGCCCAACTCAATGTCTGAGAGAGTCTCTGGGGGAAAAGGCACTTTTCACAACATCTTTGTGGGTCCAACTTTTTATTCAGGGCGCGTACAACAGCCAGAATAGTCATTAACTCATTAGTCCATCTTTAGACAATGTACAATTATGACAGTTCATATTCAAGTTATGACAATGATCGATTTACAACCCTGTTGAAAGCCAAGACCATTTGAACAAGCACAAGCTGTAATGAGACAGTGGAAATGAAGTGGAACTGTAGCCACAGACAAACTGGAGATGGAACTGAATTGGAGTTACAAATAAACTGGACCTGAAATGAAGCCAGAGAAGATGAAACCCAGCCGGAGCCTAAAATGTGCTGGAAGCAAGAACAAGCATAAGGTGGAGCCGTCCATGAGCTGGACCTGAAACAAACCAGGGGCAGAAAAAAATGACCTGAAGCTGCAGTTAAGTTAGAGCCATCCACAAGCTGGAGCCACAAAAGAATGGGAGCCATCCATGAGCTGGAGCAGAAACAAAACAAAACGGGCCAAAACAAGCGACCTGAAGCTGCAGCCGCACTGGAGCTGTGATGCCCCCTCAGTCTCCAGTTGGGCAGAGCCGGGTGGGCTCAGGCAGGGCTGTCCCAGCCAGATGCTGGGCAGGCGGCAACGTAGTGGTCAGCACAGGCAGCCCGGCTTCTTCCTGCAGGCTGCACACCCCGCACAGGTCTCTCCGGTGGGGTTGGCTGCCGGTGTAGCTGGGGCTCCTCCGTCCATCTGCCCCTGCACAGGGAGAGATGTGGGATGGTCAGAGCCCCTGGTGGCATGAAATGGCCCAAAGAGCCCCTGGAGCTACTGCTCCTGCAAACCCTGCTGCCTCCTGGGCATGGGCAGCTCTTCCTGGCCCCTCGCTGGCATTTTTGGCAGTGGCGTCCCAGTGCCATGCACCTGCAATGGGAGGGCAAGGAGAAATGGGGATAGGACATCAGAAACATTGTATTTCTCCCCAGGAGCAACGTATGTGAGGAGCAAATGACAAAAACATCCGGCTGTGAAGAAAATAGACTCCTGCCAGTGACCAGCAGCCTTGGGCTGGTGACCAGGCTGGCACTGCACCACTGCCAGCAGGGTCTGGGCCAGACCCTGACAGCACCCAACAGCCCCACGGGACACGCACCGGCACCCATGGCAATGCACCAGTGCTGCCCAGCCACACCAGGTCCCCTCCTTCCCCTCAAGGCCCTCATGGGGACACCCACCAGGGGATGGCACCTGCCCTCCCTGTCCCTTGGCCACCTCACTGGCAGGAGAAGGGGCAAAGCCAAAGTGCCCTGAGCATAAAAATTCTCCCTGGGCTCTGGCAAGGCCCGGCCAGACGGGCTTCACCATCTCACTGACCAGGCTGCACGAGCTGGTGGAGATCCCTGGAGCGGCCTCTGCTCCCACCTCAGCACGTTTTGAGCTGAAAAAGAAGGTTTTCTGTAAAAGCGGGGCTTCACACAGGGCCTAGAGCTGCCCCGAGGCGCCACCATGGCAGCGCCTGATGCTGCCGGTTCCAGCCCTTGGGCATTGCCTGTGAGGGTGACACTGAGCAAGACTGAACCCCAGCAGAAACCAGTTTCCCCCAGCAGCAGCTCCCACACTCACTGATGTTTAAGCTCTCCCTGGCAGAGCCAGCGCCGGGCCGGAGGGGTTGGTCCTGCCAGCAGCTGTGCCAGCGAAGGGCCGGGGAGAAGAAACCAGCACCAGGAGGAGGGAGCCCAGCCACAGGAGGGGTCACTGGCTGGCCCGGGGGGCCCCCC